GTGCAGTGAAATACAACCCTGATGCACACCTTCCCTCAATTTAAACTATTCCGTGTTCCCTTGTTCTGTTCAAACAACTGCCTCTTGGTCTGTGTACAGGTTCCTTATGAGCACAAGTGTTTCGAAATACTCACTTTACAATATCCATGTCTTTGCGCAATCAATAAAAACACAGGTAAACATCTTTCTGGTATTCTTTCAGCCAAGATCCATCTAACGTCAGCAATGATACCCCTTTAGCCCATGTCCTCTTCTGAATCTCTAGTTTCATATATTGAACCTCTGCTAAGTTTAAACCTCTACAAATTCTGTCGATGTATGGTTGTATTACCATATAGCTTTAAAAAAATTTTTTTAATTCGTATTATACAGAAAAGGCTTATTTTGTTTTCAAATGAAAACAGGAGAAAAACTTGTATGTCCTCTAACCCCCAATTTTGCTGTTGCTTTTTTTTTTTTAAGGATGACAATTTAAAGAACGGGTATCTCTGGATAGCTGAGAGGTCACTGACTTTCTTTCATACTTTCACTTTAGTGATCCGTAGTTTTAGTAAGAAATGTTTTCCCAAGGTTTTCCTCAACCATCTTATTTTCCCTTCAGCTCACTCCTAAACTTAAAACTAGTCTATCTCCATAGCTTCTTGTATGACCTCAATTAAATGGTCTTTTATAAACTGTTGTAAGACAAAGAGCAATACGCAACTCCTGATGGCCGAAATCAAGTCTTTACTCACTCTTCATCCGACTTAATTTCTCTACTAGGCTTGACGTTTGACACATTGGAACTTTCTATGGCTTCTCCTCAGCCTCCCTGACTGTTCTTTTTCCTCCTTCAGTTCCTATGTGTGGTTGTTTTCCAAGATTCAGTCTGTTCCTTAGTCAAACAGATTCCTGGTACGTTTGGACACTTTGGTCTTGAATGAATTTAACGAGCATTTTTTCTGGGGAAAAAAGTCCATGATCCCAAAAAGATTAGGACTCACTGGTAAAGATTAAATGTGTAACTCCTTTATCTCCAAATCTTTTCCACTTTACCTCTCAAAAATTCCTCCATCACTAATAATCCATACTGTATGTGCCTTTGCTAATGCCATTTCCTTTGCCTGACAGTTCACCAGACTTCTCCAAGCAGAATGTCCCTCTACAGCACTTCATATACGAGGGACTTCAATAAATTCGTGGACAAACTCCACTACCTTTTAATTCCATTGTCCACAAATGTCTTGAAGTTCTCTAGTATGTCAATGCTATATATCTATGTTTAATCATATGAAAATCTGTCTGAACAAAATCAATATATTTGTCTTAATGCTATATAAAGGATGAAGACCTAACTAAAATGTCAAATTTTGTTCCAAAAATATCAACTTGTTTTGCAGTTGTCGTTGGACAAGAAAAAGACTTACTACTCATTCACGGTAACAAGTTTTAAATGTACTCTTTAGTAAACAATTCTTTTACATTGAGAACAATTCTTACCAACTTCACATAATTGAAACTGAAAACCAAAATGTCTACTAGCAAATAACATAAGCAACAATGTAAACTTAGATTTTAAGATAAAATAAACAAATCACAAAATCATTTATATAAAAACACCAAACTTCAAACAATATTGAATACAATAAAAAACCTTACAAGACCCAAACTGTGGAATCCAAGTCGGCAGTATCAGAACTTGAATGGTAAGTCTTAGAGAAGGCTTGATCTATTAAAGTGATTCTTTAACACTCATGAGTGTTCATCAGAATAACTGGAGGAGCTGTGTTAAAATATCTTCCCTCAAGAGAGGACTGGGCAAATTGGTGGATTTTCTAGAACGTGCCCACCATTCTTTGATGAACAATACTGGTTAAGAATTCTTCCCTATGAAATGCTTGACACATTTTCAGTTTACAAGTACATGTATGGGGAGGCATCAACAAATTATGGAAAAAGCCCATTATCTTTTAATTCCATTTTTTCATGAACTTTTGGAATCCTCCCCTCTCATTTCCAAACAACGTAACAGATTTTCACTGTTTGTAAAGGTCAAAGTTATTTACCGGGCACCTAGCATTTTGTAACAAGAGTAACTGCTTTTAATAAATGTAACTGGTTTTAAGGTTTTGTTTTGCTGTGTTTTTTCAGTAATTGAGTCACTTCAAAGTTTTTAAGTGTCAATCTAGGAAAATGGAGTTTTTAGTGATATTTCTAAAGTTTACTGAGTATAGACAACTAGTCCACTAGTATGCGTATGTGTGATAAATAAGAATTATCTGTATGTAAATATACACTGAATATACTTTACAAAAATTAAAGCAATAGACAAAAGTTCAAGTGTATACTAGAACTCAGAAATATAAAATATATTCTTAGTATTATGTATAAGTATAAAACAATTCTTACAGTAGTCCTTCAAACAGTTTTCAGAGTATATTTAACATTTTTAATATAAAAATATTTAAAATCACCTGCACTGAGGTTGCATATTGATTTTGATTTTCATTAGGTAAAAGAGCTGACAGTTCATTGATATATTCTTAGCAGAACTGTAACAAAACAGGTTAAAATAATTTTTAAAAGACTATTTACTTTCTTCATTGTATTCATGCTCTAAAAACTTTTAAATATGCTTGGAAGCCCATGGATTAAAAATGATCTCTAAAGATATTGTAAAAATCTCAGTATTATTTAAAAATACCTCTACCTCTAAAAGTTTTTATATTCTTAATGAGTTTTTGTTCAAGTGAGCAACCTCCTCACACAATCTTCTTCATACAATCCTCAATTTAAAAAGATAATCTACATATCTTAAGTTAGAAACTCAATCTCTAATCATATAAAAAACTTTTAAAACATTCCATTGAATCATTTCTGTAATTCCAAATAAGTTTCTATTTAATATCACAACATTGTTTGTCTCCATTTTGAAACAGACCATATTTATGTCTAGCATTGTCGTATGCATTCAGTGTAAGTGACAAGTGTTTGATTTAGAGTGGACCTGGATTACAGACAATGGACATCTTGAACCCCATGGTACACATATGGAAAAGAATTTGGTTTTTACTTTAAAATAATCTAAAATACAATCAAACTTCGTTTTTCCTTTCCTCTTCTATTGCCTTTATCATGATTAGATATATACAAACTCAAAATATAAACTTTTCTAATGACCACGCCCATGGTGACCAAAAGTTGGCTTGTTACCAATCTTACAAAAGACATTACATTCAAATTTTTGATAAAGCAAAATAATTCTGTATTGTTTTAATGGAAAAGCAAACAAAAGAAGGTTTGTACAATGGCACTGATAAAATTGATGAGTCTATGATGCGCTAAGGATTAGAAAAGTTGCATCTAATAAGGTCATACTTTTGTGGAAAATATCTAAGCTGCCAATGGCTCCACACATCCCTTTTAAAGTCAATATTAACTGTTAATAGTAATTTTAGTGCCTGGCACAAATCACAGCGCACTTTAAAAGCACTTCTCAGGCTGGGCTGGAAAGCCACACACACTCCCTCACTTCATACCACTAAAGTATTTTAAATGCATAGGAATACAACAAACTCAAAAGAAAAAAAAAATAGTGTTTTATTAACTACCACACTGTTATAATACACTTTAAACGTACAATAAGGTAGCCTTTAAATTTGAGGTGGTCTTAAGAATAACAAATGAACAGAATTCCAAATTTTTGAAATAGGTGAACTGCTGCAGTTATAGGTATACATTTAGGAAAATTGTATATAGCTCTTACAAGACCAGCAATGTAACTTTTATTTTGTACATTTTAATAATTGAAAATATAAACAATTAAAAGATAAAAAGAAAATACAGCATAATAAAAAAACATGTTTTTCAATTAAATGAATTAAATGTACTGGATACATAGAAATTTTAAGGGAAGAAGCAAAAAAAAAAGAAAAATGGTTGATATTTAAGTGCAGACTGACTACTTAGACAAAAAAAAAAAAAAAACTTTAAAAAAATATCATAAAACCTCTAGTTTTCTATGACTAATATCCATATGATTGGAGTATCGTCACTATGGAAGTGATTTTGTTATGTTTGCATATGTTATTATACTTTACTGGTAATTTACATGATGGCTTTTAAGGCCCTGGCAGACATACGGTTTTTGGAAACAAGATTGAATAAAAATCACTGCTGCTAAGACGCAATACACCTTATTTTTTTGGTCCTCCAATATTCAAGAATAGGGATTATTCACTATAACATTTTTCTTACCACCCAAATGCCTCAACCTATACATTTTAAACTTTTTTAAACAATGGTTATATTACCCAACTTCGTTATTGAAAGAATATTAACAAGACATCATTTTGGCAAATTAAATCTTAAACATGGCTTTTCAACAGGATTTAAAAGGTGACTATCCCTAGAGTTCCATGTTAAAATGTAGTTTTCAAAATCTTACAAGAGTAATGCTTAAAATATTGTACATAGTTAACCTAATTAAAATAATTAGCTTCAAAATGACAAATTGATAAGCTAAGTAAAGCCTACACTATGTAACATTTGCTTGGAAACTTGATTTGTCAGTTATGCATAATAAAAATTCCAGTCATCAAGAAAATTACAAAAATTTTTTTTATCATAACATGATTTCTTTCACCCACCAACTTTTTTTTTTTTATCTTACAATAGATAAATACCAACATGTTCTCATTTTTACACTAAACCACACAGGATTGATGCATTTGGTTAGACTACCATTCGCATTGTTAAATTCTATTTTCTCTTTATATAACTTGGTAAAATTTCATTTCTTCTAGATTCCAAAAGTACCTACAAAACCCATGCAATTCTACCATTTTTAATATACTATGGAATATCATACAAAGTAAGGCATTTCAGTATCATGTATAACCAAGTTACTGTCAATCCAAAAATTTTTGCACATCAATAAAAAGATATCTAAGAACTTAGGAACAATATTCTCCTCACTACTGTATAAAAATAACCACAATGAATAAGTATTTGTGTAATATTTACTCCATTGTCTCATTTCCAGAAACTGTGACAAGCTGTAAAGGTATTTCAGTGTTGGTAAGGATATCTTGATTGCTGGTGGCGGAAGTATTAACAGTTCCTATCCCTGAAACAGAACCTTGTTGAATATTTGCAAGGATAAGTGTTGTTCCTCCTGCAGTAATCAAAGTATCATCTCACGCAGCTTCCACAGATGCCAGCACTGTACTGCTTGAGTGAATACCTTTTTTATTCTGATGTGTTTTAATGTGTTTGGCAAGATGGTCACTTCTCATAAAGCGTTTTGAACATTCTGGGCAAACAAATTTCTTCTCACCTGTTTGGGTAAAAAATGAAGTTATTTAGTTTTAAAAATTCAATGTTAACACACTAATCATCCTGAGTGAGAAAGTAAACCAAGCGAATGCTGGGGAAGATCCATTAAAATTATTTTAGGTTCATGATCTGCCCCTACAAGTTACTCTCACAGAAATTACCCTTTGTCAAAATAAATCTGTCACCTTTATTCATTTATTTATTGATTGTTGAAAAGCCATCTTCAAGCTTACTAAAAGTATGGACTGATATTCAAATAAGACTGCTGGTACAATTCCATCCAGGTACCACCTCATCTGTCTAACTACCTGATGAAAGAGGTAAGAACAAAAACATATAGAGCATTTGTGTACTATACCATACACTTCTCGGGTTATTTCATATATTTAAAGTGCAAAAGCAGGTGCAAAACGCAGTCAGAATGTGAGCCTATCTGTCTAAGCTAATAGAAAACCTGAATTTCAACTCAGATTTAAGAGGCTTAAAATTAAAAACCTACGCTCTTCTCCATTTTAACCATGCTTCTTCCTTCTATGCTCTCTAGGGACTATAAATAAAAGGGGGGAAGGGTTTTCAAAAATTTCGTGGAAAACTGCAAATGAAAAGAGAAAGGAAAACTTTTGAAACCCCCATATTACTATTATGTATTAGGAGAAAAATATATCTACGTTATATTAAGTTAGACTTCAGGTTGGGTTAGGCCCAGGTCCATTTCCTAGAATAATCACAATGTTAAAGGAAAAGTCTTGACAGCAGTAATACCTACGTTGTTCCTCAATGACCTTCAAGTACTGTCTTTCGCTTACCTCACAGACACCAAAACAACGGAAAAAGTGAAACGTCTGAATTTTTAAGAAAAGGGATTATTCTGATAGTATTAAGTAGAAGGAAGAATAATAGCAGACAACTTATTAAAAATATTGACAAGAAAATAGTATAAATATAGCTCAGAACATTCAACACTATCAACAACAAAAGCTAACCAAAGATGCATAAAATACAATTTTATAAGATAAGCCACGATGGTTTGTTCTTTGATATTAGTGCTTCAAAACTGGTGTTACTGAAGACAACTTCTTAATGTATTATATTTTTTAAAATGTACTTCATGTTAACTATGCTAACAAAAAAACTTCAAGGATGCATATATTCCTACAAAATTCACTGTAATCTATTAAAAGTAATTATTAGTAACCTGTGTGTGTTCTTCTGTGCCTTTGTAATTCATCACTTCGAGTAAATCTTTTACCACAGAACATCCAGTTACAAACAAAAGGTCGCTCCCCAGAATGCCAACGCAGATGAGCTCTCAGATGTGAGGTTTTTCCATAGACTTTACCACATCCTGGTATATGACAAATGTGTTGCTTCTTTTTCCCAAGATTGGTACCTCTAAAAAACACAGAGAATTAATATATACTTATGCGAAAAGATTCAAATGGTCAGCAACACTTATATGCCGTCATGCTGGATTTCAAACAGAAGACTTTGAGGGTCAATCATGAAAACCAAGACCATTAAAAATCAATTTAAATGAAATCTATGTATTTCAAACATAATGTTTTTACTTATTTTACTCAAAAATAAATGTGATATTGCTTGTCCAACTGTAAATATACATACAGAAAGAACTATGTCACGAAACTGGCCATTTCATATAATATATGTTATTGTTGTTAAGTGCCATCGGGTCAGTTCCGACCCATAGCGACCCTGTACAGGGTTTCCGAGGGTGTAAATCTTTACGGAGTAGAAAGCCTCATCTTTCTCCCACGGAGTGGCTGGTAGTTTCGAACCGCTGACCTTAAGGTTCGCAGCCCAATTC